CACCTGAGATCCCCACTTCATATGGGGATTGAAAGGCAAATTGTGTTCGGAAGAAAAGACACGAAAATTATTTCCCTTAATTTTTTAACAGAGGCAGTCTATGCTAAGTTGCTTCAGTCATGTCCAACTCTTTGTGACCCTATGGACTGCAGTCCACCAGGCTCCTCTGTCCGTGGGATTTTCCAGGCAAGAATATGGAGTGGGTTGCCATGCCCTTCTCCAGGGATCTTCCCCACCCAGAGATCAAACCCACGTCTCTCTTTTCTCCTGTATTGGCAGGCGCGTTCTTTACTGCTAGCATCACCTGGGAAACCCAGAGGCAGTACATTTATGTAATTCAAAAGGTACACGGGGTACCCTGTGAAAAGTCTTCCCACCTCCATCCCCTGCCCTTCAAGTGAACCTATTTGTGTTTCAAGTAAAAATGTACCGTATAGTCTACCAGCTTTTTAAAAATGGAAAATGTTAGCATGCTGTACATGTTCTATACCATGCTTTTTACAATTCCATATGAGAGCTTCCTCATTCTTTCTCCAGCTGTGGAGTTTTTGTCTGTAGGCTTATATTTAACTGCTCCCTACAGGTAGAACTTGGCATTTTCCCAGGCTTTTGCTGTTACAGATGATGCTACAATGGACAATTTGTAAAGAGTTTATTACAGATATAGGCAGGTGTATATCTCCGTGGTCAAGTCCTAGTGTGAGATTGCAAGACAGGTGAAATGAATGTGTAATTTTTAAAAACACATCGCTAGGTTCCTCCTCATAAGTGTTCTGCCATTTTGCATTCATACAATTAAGAGACAAGAGTCCCTTTGCCCCCACCTACTGTTTCATCAACAGAATGCTGTCAGACTTCTGGATTTTTGTTAAAGCTGATAGGTGAGGGGTGCCTTATCGGCAGTTTGTCGGCCGGGGGAGAGAGAGCTGGGCTGGGAACCTCCGGATGCCCAGGGCACTGCTTCACACATGGCTCACGGAACACTGTTATTGAGTAAAAACAAAAGAGCCCACCAGCTTTCTTATTTTTGTCTAAAATGTCATTTTTCATTTTCTGTGTTAAATGAACACACTGTAAAATTGATTTTGCCTTGGGTGTATGGTTCTCTGGATATTTTAAAAAATATTTATTTGTTTGGCTACGCCTGGTCCTTGCTGCAGCATGTGGGATCTAGCTCCCTGACCAGGCTCCCCCCGCATTGGGAGCATGGAGTCTTAGCCACAGGGTCACCAGGAAGTCCCCGGTCTCTGGATTTGAATACCAGGATCAATTCGAGTAACTGCCACCGTAACAGGGGACAGCTCTGTGGCCCCGAAGAGTCCCCTAATCTCCCCCTTTGTAGTTGCACCCTCCCTGTCCCCTGGACCCTGGCAACCACGGATCTGTTCCCCAGTCCTGTAGCTCTGTCTTTCAGAGAATGTCATAAAAATAGAACCATACAGTATGTTACCCTTGGAGACTGCTTTTTCCATTCAGCGTGATTTCCTGGAGATTTCATCCAAGCTGTTGCCTGCATTAGTATTTTGTCACTTTTTATTGCCGAGAAATAGTCCATTGTATGAACATAGCACAGTTTGTTTACCCTTTGAGTGACATGGAGGTTGTTCCCAGTTTGGGGACATTATTAATAGAACGGCTGTAAACATTTGCATACTGGTTTTTGTGTGAATGTAAATTTTAATTTCTCCTCAGCTTAGTTTGATTTCCACTTATTATTATGAGTAAGTTTAGGTATATTTTCATGTGTTTATAAGTCATTCATAGTTCCTTTTCTATAAAGTGTTCATTTCCTTTACTTATTTTTCTTTTTGGGTGTTGATGACTTTTAGACAAGTTGGTTAGGGGAGTTGACAGGCATCTGAATGAAAATAGCTGTTAGTTTAAAAAGGAGGACCAAAGTTTGAGAGAAAAACAAAATTTGAAAACAAAAGATTTTAGAGTTACGTTGGCAGAGAAATGGAGAGATGGGGCCATGGACCTACGCAAGCTCTACAATGGAGGAAAAAAAGACAGCTGAAGACAGAATCTGTGGAAATGCCCTGTTTAGGATCTGAAGGAGGAAACTAAGCAAGAGACTTCTTGGAGGTCAGAGAAAAGCCATGATTGGTTCAGGGTCTCATTAACAAAAGCTGAATATTGAAGGTCTGCTAAGTAAAGGGTGTAAACCCACAGGGCCCAGTGTTCAGAAAAAAACATCTCTTTCCAAGAGTCCCAAGCAAAAACCCCCAGTTTTGTCTGATTGGACTGGTGCAGGTGACATGACCATCCCTGCACCAGTCATGATAACCAGGGGATACAGCGCCCTGATTGTCCTACCTGGGTCATGGTGCTCCAACTCCAATATTTTCCAGAACCTCATGGATCCCCAAGGAAAGGTATGAGGCTATTGGGTCAAAGACAGTTGCTGAGGAAACAGCCAGCAAATGACTAGTAAGTGGGCTTTGAGAATTGTGTATCAACAAAATTTAGTTTAGTCAGCAGTTGTGTTTCAAGGCAAAGAAGTCGAGGCAACAGGTGGAGAAAAACTCAGTTCAAGAGTTTGCCTCAAGTTTTGATAGCCAGGAAGCTTAAGTGAAGGACTGCTTCTCCCTGCCGCCTGCCCAAATAAGACAACATCCACGCATGATCAAAGCACAGTGGACGGTCATGGGGACCGTGATCGTGGAGGTCACGCAGCCCCGGGGGTCATTGAGGAGAAGGATGGCAGGAGTAACAGCAGGTGAAGCCCAGGGCTCACATGGAGGACACGCAGAGCACAAGGCTTCCTCTGAGGAGGCAAGTGGCCTCCCCGTCCCATACTCTTGCCTTTCTTTTATTCATTCTCCCCACTGCAGTCGTAAAATGTTGTCGTGTTGGTGCCCCGTGAGAGCTATGGCCGTGGCTTCGTGTTGTTCCCTCGATGTAAGCTTTAGAAAGGGGACTGGATTTTAGGATCCTGTGGACTTCCTGTCTGCGTTTACCCTTTCCTCTTCAGTGTCCTAAAACCATCACGATCCACAAGCTGACCACTCTTCCTATTCAACAGTGGCAATCCTCTGTCTCTTCTCTAGACTGTAAGCTCCCCACAGTCATGGATTGTGATGGGTTAGCTCAGACTGGATCCTCTAGCAATGTGGCATACAGCAGGGGCTCACACATGTGGACATTGGAAGGATGAATGGGTACCCTCTAATCTGAAAAATGCTCTAGCCTCAGTGTTTACTTCTAAGGTCTGATTCTCACGCATTGTTTACCCCAATCAGATGTCATTTTATTAGAAACTAAACAAAAGCAATAATGAATGAAGAACTGGGGCGGGGGGAGACCAACTCTTTAGAATTCCATTTTATATTTATGGGGAAAAAAAGAGTGGGAGGGCAACATGGCAAAATACAGACACAGTTGACACTAGGTATTGGAAATAAGAATCTGTTTTTTCTTACACTTTTTGGTCCTTCCCAGATTTTCTACAATGCATATGTTTTACTTTTTGTTGTTTTCCAGATTTTCCAATGCATTGAAGGAAGTGTTTCAGTTTTTCAATTATAAACTTTCAAAATAACCCACATGAAACTCTGTAACAAAACCATAGCAAGCTCCTCATTCTCTGACTTAAATGTATTAATCTATTGGTTACGTTGAGACTTCACCTAATGAATTTTGCTGTAAAAACACTAAAGGAAGAAGAAAATGGAGGACATTAAGGAGTTAAAAATATTTTAAACAGGCCTTTAAGGAAGGAAGCAAAGGAGGGAAGGGGAGAAAGAGAGAAAATAGGGAAAGAAGGAGAGAGTGACATAGGAACAGAGAAAGAAAACCACAGTCTAAAGTGTCCTGAAGAAGGATTGATTAAGCATCGTGCATGCACCCAGTGAAATATGCACACTATCTGAAGTTCTGTCTGTGAAGACAGTGGTAATGCCCAGATGGGCACAGTGGAGCTTCGATACCACCACATCTAAAATATCTTCCCAGACCACCCCAAATAAACGCACTCCGTAAGTCATGATGGTGCGCTTGCTTTTAACATGGCTCCCGCAGAAGGTGACTCCTCCTCCACCCTCTGCCTGCCAAGAAAGGATGACACCGTCTTTGTGAAGATCATGACAATCCTTGTGACTTAAGGTGTGGGTGTTGCTCAGGGGTGTCCAACTCTTTGCGACCCCGGTGGAGTGTGGCCGGTCAGGCTCCTCTGTCCATAGAATTCTCCAGGCAAGAATACTGGAGTGGGTTGCCATTCACTTCTCCAGGGGATCTTCCCAACCCAGGGATCGAAGCCGCGTCTCTTGCACTGCCGGCGAATTCTCTACCATCTGAACCACCGGGGAAGCCCTCTGACATAATATTAAATAAAAAATAAGAGATTGAAGGGAATTCCCTGGTGGTCCAGTGGTTAGGACTCAGCGCTTTCACTGCACTGGCCTGGGTTCAGTCCCTGGTAGGGGAACTGAGATCCTGCAAACCACATGGTATATGGCCAAAAAGCAAATGTTTTAGAAGTATAGAATGAATAATAATAATAATAGATTTAAGAAAGTGTGGTTATAGCCATGCATTAAGAAAATAAATATTAAATTTATTCCAAAAGATGGAAAAACTGAAAGACATATATGAATAGCAATACAATCATGAATAGCATGATTGTGTTTTTCCTACTTTTCAAATGTTTACAGCCATACATTTTTAAAAATATATGTATTATAAGGGACTTCCCTGGTGGCTCAGTGGTTAAGACTTCACCTTCCAATGCCAGGGGTGCGGGTTTGATCCCTTGGTCAGAGAGGTAAGATCCCATATGCCTCGAGGCCAAAAAACCAAGACATAAAGTAGAAACAATACTGTAGCACATTTAGGAAAGACTTAAAAAATGGTCCGTATCAAAAAAAAAAAAATCTTAAAAAGCAAATAGTGTTATAAAATAAAGCAATGTAAACATTGTGTGTTAAACATCGAATCCGTTTTACCTGACTTGAAATCAGTACAGGAAGAGCTCTCACGGTTCTTTGCTCTGCTTCCCGCAGGATGTGCTGGGCGGCATCCTGATCACCACCATCCTCATTGTCCTCACGTACCCCGCCTGGACCCTTATCGATCGCCTGGACTCGGCCAGCCCCCTCCTCCCCGTGTGTGTCCTGGTGGTGCCGTTCTTGCTCTGTTATAACTACCCCGTGTCTGATTACTACAGCCCGACCAGAGCGGACACCACCACCATCCTGGCTGCTGGGGCTGGGGTGACCATAGGCTTCTGGATCAACCATTTTTTCCAGCTCGTGTCTGAGCCCACGGCATCTCTCCCTGTTATTCAGAACATCCCGCCGCTCACCACTGAGCTGTTAGCTGTGGGTCTGGCCAAATTCACTGTGGGAATTGTGCTGATCCTCCTGGTCCGTCAGCTTGTACAGAAGCTCTCGCTGCAAGTCTTGTACTCCTGGTTCAAGGTGGTCACCAGAAACACGGAGGCCAGGCGGAGACTGGAAATCGAAGTGCCTTACAAGTTTGTCACCTACACGTCTGTTGGCATCTGTGCTACCACCTTCGTGCCGATGCTCCACAGGTTTCTGGGACTACTCTGAGCCTCAAACAGTCATTGGACCAGACATCAAAAAGTTGAGTGGGGAAGTCTTGATGACACGTTTTTCTTTAAAAAAATTTCCTTAAGTCACATGTCTGTTTTGCTAGTATCTGAGATAAATGTTGCTGCTCTATGGCGGGAAAAGTTGTCTCTCAGGAACCACTTGCCTGTAAGGGTCACGTCATGGATGAAGCCAGGCTAAACCCACAGCTGACCTCTTTAAGGGTCCCCCACCCTGTCTGTTACATGGACTTTGGGCCAGCCCTGGGCTGGCAGGAACTGCAGCCTGGCTTAGGAGTGGCCACAAGCACCCTGGGTTCTGGAGAGCATGACCCAGAAAGCTGGACGTCGGGTTTTCTTTTCAATTATGACCCTGCCCATCACCGAGTCTCAGTGTTGATCCGAGAGAAAGGGTGACGTTCCTTGGACAGGGTGACTTTCTGTCGTTACGACCACATGAGACCATGCCAGCTCACAGAGAAAGAGTGCTGTAAACCTCCCCGGGAAGCATGAAAGGTGGGGCAAAGCCCTGAGGTCCCAGGCGAGAGCCTGCTTTCCTTTCGTGTCCTGGTCTCTGCCCGGTGCCCACTGGACAGGGAGGGATCTGCTCCTCCCTGTCGTACACTTCGCAGGATTCGGGTACCACTTATTCCTATTCTCTTCTGAACATGAACCCAGCCGGCTGCTCCCAACTCACTTCATCTGATTTGCTCTGGGTGTCTGGCTCTCTCCTGCATCAGAGTGACTTGGGACAAGCCCTCTGCCCTTCTTCAGCTTTTTTCGCTTTCTTACAAACTGGGAAGGCACTGTCGTGGGCCTGTTAAAGTGGATCAGTAGAACAGATAAATGTAATCCTTCTTAGGGCCCTAGACCTCCCTCCTGGCCACTGTTTCTTCATTACTTTTCCTAAATCCATTTTCTCATCTGCTAAATAGAATCAGGGGCTCCCTTTCCATCCCCAACCCCCCCCCCCACCTCTTATCTCTTGGCAATTTTAAGGGTAATTAAATGTCAGAACAATGTCAGCCTCTCTTTGGAACAAGCCAACCCAACCCAGCATCCTTTAGACCCCAGGCAAGTCCTTATTGGACTTAGGAAGGCGATCATTATGCAAACCCCCTCCTGCAGGGGCTCCTTGAGGAGGAGGACCAAGAATGAAGAGGAAGAGCTGAAACAGTGCTCTTAAAAGCGAGCGTCAATGGACAGTTAACGAGGTGTCTTGTGGTGGAGCTGCTGAAGCCAATGCTTTATAACCTCCTGCATCCTCACCACTCACACACTTTAAGGGCAAGTCTGCCTGCCTGGATTAGGTTCTTACCTCCGCATCCAGTGTGAAAACTGAACACCTGTTTGTCCTGCTTTCAAAGACGCACCCTGGCCTTTTGGTTGCGATCACCTCTGATGTTTGACTTCATGCTTCTGACACTTTTCGTAGTTAGAAGGCAGGGGTCAGAATGACTTGCCATTTGCCGGTTTTTACATCATCCTCTGACCAGCATCTGCGGCACTCTGGCAGGGGAATGCCCCCGGTCACGGGCACCCCGACCCGAGACCACGCCACATTGCCGTGCACGCGGCACTCTCTGTACCCCCGTCCCCATGGGCTGCCAGACCTGAGATCACAGCCCTGGGTAATATTTACACAAAATGATTTTAGTTGATTTCTCTGAAGCCAACAGGCAAAAGGATCAGCTTTTTCCACTTGTATCCTTTGAGAAGGGTGGTAATTATTGTCATAGCGGTGGGTGTGAGCAATTCATTTGTGTGTGTTTATAAATTTTACTGCCATCTCTTTACTTTTAAGCCCCAACCACAGAATTACAGTCAGCTGTATTGATGTATTCAAAGCGGTATTTATACAATTTGGATTGAGGATGAATGTGGTAGCCATAGCTCAGTAAAGAAAGACTCACAGATTGGTCACTTTTTAAAGTCTCTTGTTCCATCAACTGAAGAATAAAAAGTGCATATTGGTGAGGCCAAGCTTAGTTTTTGAGCACAACGGCTCTGTGGCCTAGAATCAGGCAGAAACTGTTCAGAAAAACTTTTTTACCTGCTTCAAACTGCAGCTTGGTCATCCCTCCTCATTCACTTTACCCAGCCCATCACCGTTATACACACACACACACACCACCACCACCCCCTGCCACACCCCCCAAGACTATGCCGTCCATCGCTGACCTCTGGATTTTCTCTCTGGGGATAGACTGCCCCCTGCTGGCATAACCCCTGTCTTGGTCCAGAGCCTCTGTTGAGCAGAAGTCTTAAGAGATGAAGTTTCAAAATCCAGCTCATCTTGATGTGTCCAGTCTAAGCTTAGAAGCTGTGGTCTGGCAAGCTCTCCATCTAGACATGGTGACAGCAAAGTGCCCGGCATCATCGGCCACTCCATGTAGAACAGTGTGGGCTTTTCCTGACTGCCCTCCTGCCCCTAACCCACCACCACTCTGGACCAGGGCATTTCCTCCTGTGTCATTCTAAACAGCCGTCATTCCAGGCCAATTTTGCCCAGACTCCCACCCTAACAGATCATGCAGTAGAAAACACCGCAGAAGAGACAATGAACAAAAAACCCTCAACGACTGAAATCACCCCTCAACGTGCCTGCAGATTACACGATAACAGGATTTTCTTGCCCAAATAGGCGACTCATGCTTCCCGAGTGTAACCAAAGCATGTGGTGTTTCAGGGCCATATGCTCTGGTTTTCTATTTTGGAAACCTTCAGCTGTCTTACTTACGTACTGTATATAAATTTGTTCTTTTTAAAATCATTTTTCTTTGATGATGATTTATTAAATGCTTTAAAAGCCAGTGTTCTGCTTCCTTGCAGTTTTTTCCCCCCCCTAGATCCTCAGGGTTCATGGGACCTGAGTTGAAAAGAGGTGACAAAAATAAACAGCGGCCATACAGTTCTCTGGGGCTTCCCAGGTGGTTCAGTGGTACAGAATCTGCCTGCCAACGCAGGAGATGTGGGTTCAATCCCTGGGTCAGAAAGATCCCCTAGAGAAGGAAATGGCAATCCACTCCAGTGTTCTTGCCTGGAGTATCCCATGGACAGAGGAGCCTGGTGGGCTATAGTCCTTGGAGATGCAAAGTGACTAAATGAAGACGATACAGTTCTCTAGCGCTGTCATGATTCAGCCACATGCAGATGTTGGTGAGCACCACGGCAGCCACAGGTATGATGAAAAGAAAGTAAGTAGTATGATTGCACGTCTAATTACCCTCCTGCAGCTTCTCGATACTGAAGAGCATCCTCTTACCATATTTGGACATAAATGTCACTATATATTGAAGATAAGCAAAATGTTCTCTGTTTTTAACTTGATGTATGGCTGCGCTGGTCTTTGTTGCTGCATGTGGGCTTTCTCTATTTGCAGAGAGGGCGGTCCTCTCTAGTCGTGTGTGGACTTCTCACTGTGGCTTCTCCTGTTGCAGAAGCCGGAAGCTGTGGTGCCTGTGCTTAGCTGCCTCTCGGAATGTGGGATCCTCCCAGCCCAGGGGTCAAACCCATGTCCCCCGTGTTGTGGCAGGCAGACTCTTTTTTTTTTTTTTCCATTTATTTTTATTAGTTGGAGGCTAATTACTTTACAGTATTGTAGTGGTTTTTGCCATACATTGACATGAATCAGCCATGGATTTACATGTGTTCCCCATCCTGATCCCCCCTCACCATCCCATCCCTCTGGGTCTTCCCAGTGCACCAGCCCTGAGCACTTGTCTCATGCATCCAACCTGGGCTGGTGATCTGTTTCACACTTGATAATATACATGTTTCGATGCTGTTCTCTCAGATCATCCCACCCTCGCCTTCTCCCACAGAGTCCAAAAGTCTGTTCTATATATCTGTGTCTCTTTTTCTGTCTTGCATATAGGGTTATCGTTACCATCTTTCTAAATTCCATATATATGTGTTACTTTACTGTATCAGTGTTTATCTTTCTGGCTTACTTCACTCTGTATAATGGGCTCCAGTTTCATCCATCTCATTAGAACTGATTCAAATGTATTCTTTTTAATGGCTGAGTAATAACCCATTGTGTATGTACCACAGCTTTCTTATCCATTCGTCTGCTGATGGGCATCTAGGTTGCTTCCATGTCCTGGCTATTATAAACAGTGCTTGGCAGGCAGACTCTTAACCACTGGACTACTAGGGAAGCCCAAGCAAAAGGTTTCCACAGGTGACTGCACTGTGTGCTGAACGAAATGGACATGACCCCACTTTACAATCACATCATTGCAATGATATGCTATCCCCTTAAGCGTCCCTTGCTTTTTGAAATGGTACTGAAAGCTGACACTCTTATTTGCAAGGCTGTTAGGATCCTCTTTGTACCTTAAACATTATGTTATTTCATAATACCTAATTTGCTGCCTCCCATGGGCACGTGAGGCTAGATGAGACCTCATTTGCCAAGTGGGGGGTCTCTCCAGAGAGAGGACTCGGGCTCAAAAAATTACAAACCAAGACCCAAAGTTGTTAAGGCTGTAGGGTAAAGATAAGCACCCGGTGGGAATTGAGTTCTGTGACTCAACAGAGGCTCATGGGAGAGGTAATGTGTGAGCCAGGCTTAAAGAACAGATGGCGTCTGCATGGAGACATGATGCAAAGCAGGTACAAGATGATGCTCTATGGTGAGGGCACAGCTTGTGAGAGACACTTCTCCAACACCTCGAGCTCTTACAAGGAAGAGACAGACCGCACCCGTGGTGGTGTGCCTGTGTGTGGGAGTTAACAGTGATGGCAGGGCTGGGATAAAGAGTGAGGAAGGGGCTTTGGTGGGGCAGAACCCAGTCACGAGAAAGGGAAGGGAGCCTAAGCAGCTCCTTAATCCTTTGCTTGCCTCCACATGGAATAATCCAGAGGAGGTGACATCTCCAGGTGATTTCAGTCTCTTCACTCAAATATTCACCCTTGGCTGCCTTTCCCTCTGCTGTCAATGAACCTCCCCACATCCTTTGCTCATCTCTCGGCAGATATGACAGCAGCAAGGGACTCAATCTGTGTCCTTGGTGTCCACACCTCCTCCCACCTGTCTTTGCTCAGTTCCTTCCTTGAGCTAAGTCCCATGAAACTTAATTTTTTAAAATTTTTTTCATGATTCTGTCTCTTTGCTGCTGCTGCTGCTGCTAAGTCGCTTCAGTCGTGTCCGACTCTGTGCGACCCCATAGATGGCAACCTGCCAGGCTCCCCTGTTCCTGGGATTCTCCAGGCAAGAACAATGGAGTGGGTTGCCATTTCCTTCTCCAATGCATGCAAGTGAAAAGTGAAAGTGAAGTCACTCAGTCTTGTCGGACTCTTAGCAACCCCATGGACTGCAGCCGACCAGGCTCCTCTGTCCATGGGATTTTCCAGGCAAGAGTACTGGAGTGGGGACCTGTCTCTTTGAGGGACCTGTAAATATCCATGTTGTTCTTTAATGATTACAAATCATACCCAGTGGCTTCCCAAGTGGCACTAGTGGTAAAGAACCCACCTGACAATGAAGAGGATGTAAGAGACACGAGTTCAATCCCAGGGTTAGGAAGATGCCCTGGAGGAGGGCGTAGCAGCCCACTTCAGTATTCTTGCCTGGAGAATCCCATGGACAGAGGAGTCTGGTGATGTACAGTCCATAAGGTCACAAAGAGTTGGACATGACTGAAGTGACTTAGCACATACCAAGTGGAAATAAATGATTACAAATAAAGCCTTGGTTCTCTAGTAAGAGGTTAACCAGAACTAAGTGGAATGAGGGTGCAGACATATCTTGTTTTAGGGAATAGATCTTTTCCTAAAAGCTGCCTTTGTGTTGATCGTTTAAACTTGAATTTTAAGTGCACTAAGAAGTTTGCTGCTTAAAAATCATATGGCAGCTCTTCATTTCTGTAAACATAAGGCTCCTTAATGGATTCTTTAGGATTAGCATGCATGCATTGTTCTCTGCAAGTGGGGCACCCCTGTAGTGCAGACTTGACTGTTTACAGGATGCATGTTAAGGAGAATGAGAGCTGAATGTGGACCGTGAATAGAAGGTTAAGTTCTTAAAACTGGAGCCTTGTGAGACAAGGGAAAGCCATACAAAGCCAAACCCCTTTTTCCTTTTCCACGCCTGTCTGCATGGCCTGCAAAAGCCAGCAAGACAAGTGAGGATGTAGCCGGAGTTTCAGCTGGGACGTTTCTTCCTGCACCCACTCAACACATTTGCTGGTCCTCCTCTCTTGCTATGAAATCATCAGGGTCCCCTAGGTAGGAGCTCAAGCCAGATTCTTTCCCACTGGAGAGTTTCAAAGAATGTCAGTGCCTCCTCAGCACACACAAAGCCAGCCTTAACATGTTGGGGGTGGGGTAGGGTGACAGTTGGAACTACTGCCATGCCATCAACCTGCATCTGTGAGCCTAAACAGGAGCAGAGCCTCCTGGGCTTCCAGTCCATACTAAACCCAGATCATCTTATCATCTAAATTAGGTACCAATAAAAATATTTGGCTGGAAAACTTTTTGTTGGGGGGGGGATTAAAACCACAGCTTAATATAAATTTCTTACAGAGCCAATCAATTCTACTGCTATTCAATCGGTATTAGTGTTTTCATCAGGGTATTTCTATTTTATCTCAGACATCATAGTTTTTCTACTGATATTAATTTAAAATCCCCATCTTCCATGTCTCTACCTGTCCAGTCTTTTCTCTGGCTTCTTAAACATATGGAAGACAGTTATCTTTTTCTATTGATTTTATCAGCCATGTCATTTTTAACTCTTAAAATTCACTTTCCTCCTTATTGGTTGTATTGGAGACTTCATCTGCCTCATAATTTTTTATTGGATGCCAGATACTGTGAAGTTGAGATTCTTGGGTGCTGGGTATCTTGTCTGACTACATATTCTTAAGCTTTGTTCCAGGATGCAGTTCATCCCTTGAAAATAGTTTTGATTCTTCTGGGTCTTGTTTTTAAGACTTTTCAGGTGGAAGCAGAGTGACATTTAGCCTAGAGTTGTTCTCCCCACTCTTGAGGCAAAGCCCTTCTGGGTACTCTCCCCATCATGGTTTCTGAAGTTTGCTAGCTCTGTCCCGCCTTGCAATGTGGTATTCAGGTACCTAAGATAATACCAAATGTGGTTTATAGTTTTGTGTACTTTAGGGTTGGTTTCTTGTGGTCCCTAAGAGTGCTGTTTTAGGGGCAAGTATATGGAAGTCGACTGGAGCACTGCTTACCATTGCAGAGTTGCAAACAACAGAAGATTCCTCAACAAGAATAGCTGACCAGATTGTGGACATCCACACAAGAGACTTTTGCATCATATAAAAGAATGAGGTAGGTCTAAAGGAAGGTACTGGCCTGGAAAAATGGGGCATATTAAGTGAAATGTCATGAGATAACACTATAGAAAGTAGAAGCCAAAACTTGTTGCAAACCAGTAGGCAGAGCATGACCCCAGAACTGTGAACGTGTACGTGGATCTGACTGTCCAAACTAAGGGAAATGTCAGGAACAACATAAACTAAATTGTTAACAATGATTAGTTAGAGGATTGCAGGAGGAAGGATAAATTAGGTTACCCTTACTTGGATGGCCTTACTTGGTAGTTTTTTAATTAACTTTTTGTCTTTTTTAGTATTTTATATATAAAAAACAAAACTTGCTTAAAGAAAAAACAGTTGGGTAAACAGGTAAATGACACAACACTCAGATGTGGGCACCACGCCCCTCTTACCAGGTGTCACGAATCCACTTATTGCCTTGTGAATTCTGGGCACATTATTAATCTCTCTGAATGTCGGCTGTTCTCTTCCTGTAAGTCAGGGAGAATCCCTAATCTAACTCCCACCTATAATTGTTAAACCAAAGAATTAATATGTTGAGACAAATATCACATGTGAAAATACTCAATAAACTAGAATAATGCAGGAAATTTATCTGTAAGCTAGAACAAGAATCAATTATATCTAACTTTCCCTTTAATATGAGGGCTCCCAGTTTTTACGAGGCAGGTGTGTCTTCTCCAGTGAAAGCTTTCTGGCAGGCAGTGCCCACAGACTGCTCTGGCTCCAGTTCGAAACACTCACAAGGCACAAGTGTAAGACCATCTTGCTGTGGAGCCTAGACCTGTAAGTGAAGGTTCTTCATCTAATGTACCCAATACTGTTTTTCTTCCTACTGCTTCCTGCTCTAGAGGGCAGGAATGCCACATGATGGATGCAATTGACTGTTCCTCTTTCCTGCTGGGATACAGTTAGGTATCAGTGGCTGCCAACAGAATTAATGGCTCCACCCACTTCAACAATGGCTATCCTGACTCACAAACCCTGATTTCAATACGTGAACTTGAAACTGGGAAAGAAAGTCTCACTAATGGTCGTGGAGCAGTAAGCCATCGCAAGCTGACATGCTGATTCTGAAATTCATGCTCTTCTACCCTAAGCGTTCACGTCAAAATACAAAAGTTGCACTAACTTTTGTCTCCTAGCTTTAATGAGGTATAACCTACTTCTTAACTACTAATACCACCTTATTTAAGGTACAAATATTCCTATCACCCCAAAGAGTTAACCTACTTCTTAACTACTAATACCACCTTATTTAAGGTACAGATATTCCGATCACCCCAAAGAGTTAACTCTTAATTCTTTGCAGTCAATTTCCCTTCCACAGGCTCCAGCCAATCAATCTGCCTTTGACTTTTCTAGCTCTTCATATAAATGCAATCACATGTAGTCTTGTGTCTGGCTTCTTTCACTCAATGTAGTGCTTAGAGATTCATTCATGTTTTGAGTATCAGTAGTTCATCCCTTTAAAAAAGGAATGTGATGTATTTTGGGGCTGTGATGTATTCCATAGTATAAATATACTGTATTTATCCATTCATCTGTTTGTATCCAGTCATCTGAATAACGCTGTGAACAGCTGCATAACACTCTCTGTATGGCCATGAGTAAGCCTAGGAGTAGAACGGCTAGATGGCAGATGTTATGTTTCACGATGTAACACATTGCCAAACTATTTTCCAAAGTGGCTGTATCTCTATACATTCCCACCAGCCACATGTGACAGTTCCAGTTGCTCCAGTCACACCAACACTTGCTACAGTTTTTAAAAATTTTAGCCACTTTAATTACTAGTTTGTTTTTTATTTGCATTTCCCTGATGACTAATGATGTTAAGCATCTTCTCATGTGCTTATCTACCTTCTTTAGGAAAATGTATGTTCAGATCTCTTGTCTATATAATTTCTTCCTAGATACAAACTCTCTGAAGAGCATTATTCCTTATGGTTGAACCTCACTTCATTACTGAAATGTGAGGATATGCTTACAACAGGATTGGGAAGGAACCGATGACAGTCTGTGTGTTCATAAATCTTGCTAAGTTGGACACTGCTGCCCTGATTCAAGGCAGGAATATGGTCTTAGTGTTAGGTGCAGTAAAAGCTCCATAAACATAATTTCTGTCTATCCTTGTTAGCTATTTCTACAGGGACTTTTAGAGTTTTACATTTCGTTTCATATCTCATCTTGGTGGTAATTAAGAACTTTTCTCAAACATTTCATCAAGCTTTTGAAATACATGGTACCTACTGGAGGAGTCTAAATCAAAATATTAAAGTAAGTTAGGGGGTAAGACAAGGCAGTCTGACAGAAGCTTAGCTTCAGAAGAGAGATCTAATACCTCCCCATAAAATACGACAGACACTAGTAGCTCTACTGAGTATTTAAAACCATGACTTTATAACGTTGACCACAATAAAATGTGGGGCCTAGGGCAAAAGTAAGCGTCATATTGTTTAACGGTCACAGGGCCCTGGTACCAGCGTCTCCCTTTAAACTCTTCTAGATGTCTCCAAGTATCTACTCTCAAATATTTTGAATATGTGTGCATTTTTCTTTTACTTTAAATGACTCCAAAGGCTATAACTACTAGACCATCACCGATTCTTAAAGGTTTTCTAAAAATGCTGTTATATTATTGTTTCCCAATGATGAACATACATCAAATGTCAAAAAATAAAAAACCTGAGTTAACCTCAAACATGTGCTCTAATCAGTTCTCTTGTTTCATTAGGGCAAAGAACAGGATCCTGGATTGCAGAAGTGATGGCGATGGTGGAAGCTCTGACATGTGAGGAGCATCTCTGATTCTCTGGACTGGCTCTCCCCTGGCCTTCACGGACAAGGCAGCTTCACACAGACACTCCATGTGTGTGGTACAAGCTGGCTGGACGTGGGGGTGGTAGTATCACCCACAGAGCCAGACACTGCTTTCTACTTTATTCAACATCAATGCACAAGTGGACTTCTGTGGGGACGACTAAAGGGCATCCAGGAGAAGAGAAAGACCCTCGGGTAGACAACCCCGCAGCAGAGACTCATCTTCACAAAAACGGCTCAATGTTGATTTCCACACAGGAGCAGGGCATGGTCAGCTCGAACTTGGTGATAACGTCGGGATGAAGGACCCCCAGCTTCCCGATGCTCTGACCCCGGGCAAAGATCTCCGCACATCGGCCAGGGAAGAACGCAGAGCCTGAAAGACAGAGAGAGAAGAATCAGTGCTTCTCCAGGCAAAAATGTCAATAGACATTTAACACTGAAAGCTTGCTAGTCGCCTTTAAAAAATAACTATTCTTTAAACTCCAGGCTGTGAAACCAGCGTGCTTCCTCGCACTTTCTTTCTGGTCTTAAAAATCATTTTCTTCAAGACACTCATAAGGAAAAGGTTAGGGGCAAACATGACAATGGGGACCTGTGTTTTTTATCGCAGTGGTCCAGACAGGATGAAGAGGAGGAGACTAAAGGAGTGGAGCTGGGAGGAGACTTGGGGGGATGTGCAGACGCGGAACTGCTCTGAAAGAGCACAAAGGGAAAATGAAATGTAAAACCAACCCACTGTGCCTGCGAAGAACCTGTTCTGAAACAGGTTCTTCATAGTAACACTTGCTAGATGCAGAGTCTACACTGAATTCACGTCCTGTTCAGGACAGCACTCTTTTCTACCTCATTCCACAGAGAAACACAGGCTGCGCTGTCCTCAGTGGGCACGGGCCTTGGACAAGAATGTGACCCGCATTCCTGTGGGCAAGAGAACCTTCTGAGCAGTTCTGGCACATCTACTGTAAACCGCGGCAAAGGCCAGCCCCAACACAGGGCTGGCCTGACCCCTGATTTACTTGAGACCGGCACAAAGTCCCCTCTTCATTCGGGTGCCAATGACACAGAGATGGCTGACTAACCCAGAAACAGTTCTTGAGGTTTAAACAGCTAAAAGACGAGCAGAGAGACACCCAGGCCCCCACACAGTCCTGCCGCAACGCTCCACGCTCTGCTGAGAGAAAGCAAACGCTGACTCATTTCTCTCCCCACCAGCTTGAAAATGGATCAGGTCCGCAGCTCCCCACTGACTCAACCAAAATGTCTACTTGTGTGACAAGCCTCCAGCCTGCCGTTTCTGAGCGAGTGCATTATTTATGAAAGAGTAGACGGCCGAGTCTCTGCTAATGGCTCCAAGGTCAGGACAATGAAGAAACACAGAACTGGAGTGTGTGTGTGGGGTAGTTACCATCAAATCAGAGTCAGCTAGAGACTTAGGAAGGAAGGATGTTTGTTTACATTCCTGAAAAACATTTTTAACTATCATTCTTAAAGAACCCCAAAGCAACCCAGCTGAAATATAAGGTGGTCTGCATCTCATATCTCCCCAAACTAAGTAATTCTGCTTTACTATTAAAAGCAGGAATTTCAATGAACTGCATTTGAAGTTCATAATGGTTTGGCTGTGTGCATTAATCCACACTTGGAGAGAGGGGTCAAATGAAATAATACAGAAAGCATACTCATTGATAATGCATGGTCTTAGTGAGATACGAACACTGTTAAATCTGACAAAGATCCATGTTTTAATTCTGTCAAAATAAAAACCTAACTTAAAAGACAAAACCAGGCCAAACAAACTTAAGTTTGACTTTGCTGGCAGTCCAGTGATTAAGAATTAGTGCTCCCAATGCAGGGGACATGGGTTCAGTTCCTGGTTGGGGAACTAAGATTCCGCATGCCATACAATGCGACCAAAAAAAAAAAAAAAAGACAAGACCACCCCCTCTCACACCAAATAAATCTTCAAATGACAAGTTTTTAAAAGTGGTGGTGGTGAGCAGTATAACCAAGAATTGCAGAGTTACAACCTTTACATAAAATTCTATGAATAAACTACAGTATCTAAAAAAGCCTATTTTAAAAGGCCATTTGGAGAGGAAGTTTTGAAGAACTTTCCTGATAACCCTGCTATGTTTAAGAATCCTCACTGTACCAAAATCCTTCCTTTTTATCTGTCTTCCAATTCCAATTTGATTGGATTCATTTTAACTGAAGCATAAAACCAAACTATTTTAGAATCTAAGCCAGATGTGCTGGTTCTACAATGTTAGCAAAATAAAGCCCAAGAGATAAGAACTTTGGATTTTTAGTTCATAAAACAACTTTTCGAATCAGCGCTTTTTAAAGCAAAATCCAGTGACGTTCTTCTTTAGCTAGCAAGCATGACAATGCCAGCTGGCCCTCTCTCCAGAAGTTGGCACCGAACTCTACGGGAGCTCACTAACTGCTTAAAAACTTGATCAAACAAAAACGTTTGCATCACCAGATAGAATGTTCCTCCTTTCCAAAGAAAAGGCAAAAAGAACTGAAAATCATATCATGCATTACTTCAAACATATCCAAGTGTGGGAACGTTGTCAATGACACCAATACCAAAAGTCTCAGCCTCCTCAACTGCCCGGGGTCAGAGTACCTCCCTGCAGAGGAGCTGCTGCCCAGTGCGGGGTGGGGGGCTGCCCTCTCATTCAATGCTCGCCGATCCTCCCCTGCCCAACCACACATAAAAACTAAACCCAATGGTGGGGTTTCCATATAACTTCACTGTGCCAAAAACCATTTAACCCATGATGGCAATTTTCACTTTTCTTGCCCTTTCTCATATTTAACAAAGTCCTATGATTTTTTGATTGATGCCTCTGTTAAGTTAGCGGAAGGCTGAAGGTCTCTCTTCTTCAGACATAAGTTGAGAGGCACACAAAAGTGCCTTCAAGTTTGTAAGGGGTACAGAGAGACACTGTACCACTTGACTGATGTTGTATGTGAGCTAGACATACTGAAAGAAGATTTCAAGTTACTAGAACATAAGCATTTCTTAGCGCTTTAAAAAAAAATCTTTATGGTTCAAACCAAACTTTGCAGGCAGAAGTGAATGGCTTCAAAGAAGGGCGGATGAAAGAGAGAACTGCTTCACTAACAACAACAAAAAAGTGAACACACCCCCGCTAAGGCAGCAGTTAGGGCCGAGTCAAAGATGGGCGCGCCTCCTCCATCAGCAGGAGGGGAGCTCAGCACTTCAGTGCGCTCCCAGCGCTCCAGCCAGGACCCAGGCAACCTGAGTCAGTCTTTTCCAGAAGTAAAAGAAATCACATCTGAACGGAACCTAAACACGGGTCTAAGCTTATGAAAAACCAGACCTGGATGACAGCCGCAGACCCCTTTAGTCTCACTGGCAAACAAAATCACTTCTGGAGAAAGAGAAGCCTCCTACTTCTAGAATCATAAAGTTGTTAGTTCAAGGGGAACCGCGCTGCCTTGTGAATGGGAACTCTGAAACAAATTCTGCAAACTGCCTTCTTTTAAGCGTTCATTCAAGCCCAGAGTTCCTGGTTCACTGTTGAACCAAGGTACATAAATACTACAGTTTTCAACCTGTGCCCAAAACCTCTCCAGTTTTCTACCCAGTTCTTTGTACTGAGTAAACCCTCGGCTCTGAGAGTATCCATCACAGCAAAATGGCTTCCAACGGAAAAACAGGTTTGGGGAAAATAGGTGTTCTCTGTGGAAATCCATGTGGAAAACCAGACAAAAGACACATCAGTGAGGCACAGACAGGAATTTAATCTCCAGAACTCAGTGGGGTGTAAGTCAGTCCCTTAATTAAAGCTTTTGTAGCATCTCCCCCAGGTCTGCAATCGTCTCCCTGTGCTGAGACGGCAGGACCACTGAGAGGACCTTGGGGGAATTCCTGGGCCAGTAATCCCGCACAGCACCCAGTCTTTAGCACATTTTCTGGCTAATTGACCTTCAAAGAGTTTGTGAGCTCCCTCTCTTGCCCGTTGCCAAACACCTTTCACAGTTTCTTTTTG